CCCCCCCCCTTATGATGGTTAGTGCTGCAGGTCAACCTGTTACAAATCTTTTGACAATCTGTGTCTTCCCAGTGGTTTAATTAACTGTCATTTCAACTGACAGTGGTGGTGTGGTAGCAGAGAAGTTGAAAGTACAGTGGTCTGCTTCATTATTATTGTGTACATGCTTTGAAGTAAATTGCAGCACTACCTTATACTTCATCAGCTAATAGGAAACTTTTTTATTGTGTAAATGCTGTAAGACTTTGTATATACTTCAGTTGTTACCAAATCTTTAAAAGGAAGAGTGTTATGCTAATAAATAGCTCCTGGTGCAGGTATGGTAGGGTTTTTGTTCTTTTTTTTACCCCTCCCATTCTTAAAACTATATCGGGAACTCAATTGCAGTGTGTTTTAGTGCTGTAGAAGGTCTTGGTTAAATAATAGTTCCAGTAAAAGGTTTCTTTTACTAAAGTGCTTTTCAGAATATAATTTTTCATAAAGTAACTATAGCAGCATGATCTGTCTGAAGAATTAGAAGAGATTTTCAAGACTCCTAAAATAGCTTGCTTCTTCCTTACCTAGCAATGTTACTGTTCCCATTTATAGCATCTGTTCATAATGAATCACCGCAGTCTTCTGAATTATTCTTCAGTAGTGCTTATTTATATATTTGAATATTAAAGCCGTTTTACAAAGTCGGGCTCTATCTTTTCTCTAAGAAGCCTGTAGCCCAACTTCTTACCGATAGCCACAGTTAATGCAGGCAAGCCTAGAAGTGGAGCCATGCAGTCATTTAGTGCCTATGGAATTATCTTACATCAAGTTTTATATAATTGTTTTTCAAATGATTGTTCATGGGGGGAAAAAAGCACACATTCTGTTTCAGGAGGCTACTCTATGGTTTTTACAGTTGGCTTCACAACCTAAGACTTACAACATTCCTAGTTCGGTCAAAAAAATGAGGAGCTCTGTATTTCAGAGACATTTGTGACATTTTTAAGCTCCATGGGTTTCAGTTGGCATTGACATCACACTGGTTTTTGAAGCATATTTTTCCAATAGTAAGTTTTTTCCAATAGTAAGTTCTACTCAGTTCAGTGACTATTTTGCCAAGGAAAATAATGCTTAAGGGATTAAAGCCAAGTGTAATGCAGCTGTACAGCAATGAAATAAAGAAGTTAAAACCGAAATGAAAATGCACTCACATTGTTCTCTCTCAAGTGTTTTAAGAATGATGATGAACATGCTATCTCAACTGTTGTCAGCCAAAAACAGTAATAAAGAAGCCTTTATAACTAGAAAATGGGTTCGAGCATATGCTAGTACTCTGAACTTGTTTCCCAAGGTTTGTTAGGAAGCCGTAGGCTCTTGAGAAATCAAATTCATTTCCTTTAAATGCCACAAGGGGTTTAGGCTTTTGAGCTATCTGTAAGAGAGCATTTCCTCACCCGAGATCTTAAGCAGCACCTTTGACACAGCACAGGCTCTGACTCTGCTATCCCTGCTTCTTACAATATGCACGTGAATAAGATTTTACAGGACCCAGACCTTCACAGTCAACTGAATTTGCAACTCTGGTGAGGTTGCAGTAATAGAAATCACAAGATTGCAAAATGTCCACAAGGCTTTGAACAAGCAGATGATAATTGCCTTCGTTTGTCACTTTATTACAGTTTATGCAGATACGATTGATTTATTTATAGTCTTGCTATATGTTTGTTTTGTATGTTTGCATAAAAGCCATATTGTTGGTGTCAGATCTGTTTTTGTTTTCAAATGGGAATAACCATTTTGCCTTTGCAGACATGTCGAGAGGGTCTATTGTTTGTCCCTGCCTTAGGAGATTCCTGAGTGCCGAATATTGAATTTGCAGAGTTGTAACCAACTCAAACGACTCATCAGGGACCTGGTCTGGTCTTGTTCCTGCTGCCTCCAGCAGGCATTTACGCAGGTGCAAAGCTCACAGCAAGCGTCCACGGTTAAACAACAGCTCTTGTTGCAGCAGCAGCTCTTGAGGGAGATGCAAGTCTGTGGCGTCCTGTGGAAGCCAGTACTGAGCCCAGCGCTGACAGTCCCGGCTCCAGGAGTGAAGAAAAACGCAGTACGTTTTCAGTAGTTAGTGTAAATTCACACTCACACACACAGAAGAAACCACCACAGAAGTTTATGGTGGTTCTGTTATTTTGACTTTCCGGGGAGGGAAAGGAAGAGGAAAATTATGTGACAAAACACACTTTGAAATCTATGTACAGCTTTGCGCAGAGATAAACCATTTCTCTGAGTGAAAGAGATGGGCAGCAAAGTAAAACTGTTCTTTTAATCACTTCATATTATATAGTAACAATGTTGTGAAAGATGAGAGACGTAGGATTTGTGCCACAAATTTACATTCAACAAATACAAGTACTGAAATGTTCTTTTTTATGAATTCTGTTTCTGCAAGGGAGAGCGCTGTGCTGCGAGCATATGCACCATCTGAGTGACCGAGGGCTTTTGAAGGGTAAACACAGAATGATGATGCTTTTGGCAGAAATTCAAAAATCAAAAGACACACTCAGACAACAGAGCCAATCAGTATTGCTGACTTACCTCTTTTTACAGCAATTTATCCATCCATGGAGGCCATACGCTTTTGATTCCAGTCATTCAATGAAAAACAAAGTGCTTAATGGAGCTCTGCAGTACAGAGCTGAATAATTTCAGTCTGCGGGAGAACAGGAAAGGAGCTAAACCTTAAAAACAGTCTTCCCGATACCTATTGATTATGGCATGATGTTTAGTACGTTATATTCAGAGCTCGCTTGTTCATAAGAAACTTTTTATTAAGCAGAGTAGTCAAACCAATAAATCTGGTAGGTGCCAGTTTTCCAAGGCTATAAAACTCATTTTTTATGTGATTAATGGTGCCACACCAGTAGCTGAGCACATTAGGCTTGGAATATAAGAGCATCTGGAGCTTTGTTCCCATGAACAGTAAGGGTCGGTTGCCTATTTTGGCAATGAATATAAACGCAGATATAATGTAAGGTCCCTTTGTGCTGTACAAGAGAATAAATTGGTCAAGGTGTTTTGTACTGAATTGTAACATAACTCTATATTAAAATCCTTGTTACCAAGGCTTAGATGGTCACTGATATTCTGAATTCATCTGAAATTCCTTGCTGTCAGCAGAAAGACTCCAATAATCTGCCCATTGAAATATATCACCCATAGCTTAATGGGAAAGGCCATTCAAATTGTCTGTTCAGTGTAAAGACTTTTATCTCCTGATGATGGCATCTGTTAAGTGAAGCTCTAAATAAGCAAATTTCAGTCAGAAGTATTAACCCATGAACACCTTTTATTTTTCTCCCTGGAACCCCAAGTGGTGATCAATAGCTTTGTCCTAGAGTTTGTTACAGTCAGTATGTTGTTGCTAAAATACTCAGTGTAGTTGTTTAACCTGGCAGGCAGGCAGCCAAACACCACTCAGCTGCTTGCTCACTCCCCCTGACCCTGCAGTGGGATGGGGGAGAGAATTGGAAAAAAAAAAGAAAATTCATGGATTGAGAGAAAGACAGTTTAATAGAACAGAAAAAGAAGGGAAAATAATAATAACAATAATAATAATAATGATGGTAGAATATACAAAATGAGTGATGCACAATGCAATTGCTCACCACCTGCCATCCCAAGCAGTGATCGCTACTTCCTGAACCACGCCTCTTATTTATATACTGAGCATGACATCTTACGGTATGGAATACCCCATTGGCCAGCTCGGCCAGCTGTCCTGGCTGTGCTCCCTCCCAGCCTCTTGTGCACCAGCATGGGAAGCTGAAAAGTCCTTGACTAGTGTAAACACTACTTAGTAACAACTGAAAACATCAGTGTGTTATCAACGTTCTTCTCATACTAAATCCAAAACACAGCACTAGGAAGAAATTTAACTCTATCCCAGCCGAAACGAGGACACTCGGATGTTGTCCATTCTGGGCGCACATGCAATCAAGTGGAGACACCTACACCACACCGTCTGTCTTGCCCTGGTAGGTATGAACAGCCTTCAAGCATATTTTATATTTGATCACTTAAGAATTTGGTTGTGGCTGCCCATCAAAACTCAGTAATAATAAGCGGTGACTTTTTTTTTTTTAGTTTTCATGCAAAACAATCAATTATATAACAAAAACTAGTCTTTTAAATGTCGTTCTTCTAAATTTAAAGTCATTTTCGTGATGGTTTTATGACAAGAGTAAGAGAGTGCTAGTATCTGTGCTATTATTGTTTCCTGCTTTTGGCACTGCAAGTCATCTCCACCTTCTTGGTGTCTTGCCTTTTCTGAGTTTTCCCAGCTTCCATTCTTCCTTTCTGCATGTTCCTTGCTTGTCTTGTCTGGCGTTTTCATCTTCTCTTCTCTGAAATGTATGACCAAGGTCATCATCTTCTCCTTGCTTAGCCTCTTCTTAAACAGCCTCATCCTTCAGTTATGTTAATGCCCCTGAATCCCAAAGCAACTTTCCCACAACTTGTCCTGTCTTTTACAACCCCCATATTCATGGCAGCCTGTTTCCAAAAGAGTAACTCTGGTTGCAGTTGAGCTGCCATGTCCTGAACAGGTGGTGGTCTATTTAATGGATTATTTTTTAATTTTCCGGTGTGCCATGCTATTTGCAGGCAAGATGAAACAGCAAGAGACGGTTCTTCAGGAAGAAGTAGTGATTAAAACAGTCATGAAGAACAGGATGCCAAACGTATCTTGAAATATCTACCTTGTGGTCCAAAATTGCCTGTATTTTTTTCTCTGCTCTATCTCGCTCAATGCATACCCTTGCTACTTCTTTAGGTCTATACAAAATGCTGGCTTGAGGACCATGGTGTGCAAAGGTGGCACAATTTCCAGTGAAAAGAGTGATACAGGCCTGCTATCCAAGTAATAGTTACCATTTTGCCTTCTGCCGTTTGGTGTCATGGTACCTGTGCGTCTTAGACCTGTGGCATCCAGACCACT